GTCGTCAGCCTCCTCTCCTTGTTCACTCGGCAGTTGAATGGGCTCGGGAGTGCAGGATGGTCACGTGAGGGCCAACGCCGACGTGCTTGGGCCTCGTCGAGGGCGGCGACTCGTCTTGTTGCCCCTGCCGCCTGGCGGCTAGGTGGATCACCGATGCACAGCTTGCACCATCTCCCATCCCCCTCTCCTCCCTCATCGCCTTGCGAACGCAGCCGTTGGGCTCCAGGCCCCCCCGACAGGGCGGGGGCGTTCAATTCGGAGGGGCGGCGGCTTCTGTGCAGAGGCTCGGGCCTCGCCAACCACACGCCAGAGCCGAGGTCTCCTGACCCCCCCTCTCCCACCCTCCGCGCCCCCTCGAGGTCAAGGTCTCAAGGTCTGAGAGGATGGTGGCTGAGGCGAAGCAGGAGCACATGTAGACGGTGGAGGAGGAAGAAGGAAAGGTGGAGGAGGACCAGCAGGATATACAGGATACACAGGAGACTTGGGTCCTAGCTCTACCGTGTAGAAGGGGCCTCCTACCTCGACTGTGTGGAAGGAACCTCAGGACCCACGTCTACCGTTTAGAAGGCGGCCAGCATTTCTGAGAAGCTCTTCGACGTCATAGCCGCGTGGCTGGAGCCCCGCACGGCCAAAGTATGTGCCGATGGCGTATACTCCGACCCCTTCGTGCTAGAGGACATGGTGTTCCAGGGCACGGTTCTCGGTACACTTTGTTGATTCAATGCATTTTATGCAGATGCCAGACGTTCGATGCCGAACCCCGGTTTTGAATAATATGTTTGCCGACGATTTGACGTGTAGGCAAATTTCCATTGGTAAGGAAAACAATGCAGAGATGTTCAAACCGTGCCTCATGTGTCAAACATCGTTTCACACGTGGGGGGTTGCTAACCCAGTGGTTTGGTTTTCGAGCCCGAGAAAGAATTCACACACATCTAAGAGAAATTCGGCCCTCACGGGCGCGTTTTCAAATTTATCCATGCGTTAAACGTTGCCCAAGCGTTGCCCACAGACTCATCATGGAGGTTGACGGCGCTGCTCTGGACGGGCCGCTTCGTCCGACTCTACGAGAACCACGTGCTGTCTTTCGTCGAGGGGGCAACCAGCGCGATCCTCCACGCCACAGACATGCTCCTGAAAATGATCGACGACATCCAAACCGAGTTCCTCGACCACATGTGTTTGACAGTTGTGGCAGCTGCCTGCGAGCTATCTTGGCTCCTTGGAGCATGCGGCGAGGCATTTCTGTGATGGGCCTGTTTTCCACCACCACCACCATAAGTTGGAGGGAGGAAGGAGGTGGAGGATGAGGAGGAGGGAGAAGAAGAAGGGGAGGAGGAGGACCCCTTTCCCCTCCTACTTATGGTGGTGGTGGTGGTGGAAAACACGCCCACCATTCTACTCTCGGTCTTCTCTGCAATGTGTCGCGTGGCATTGTTCCTTGTTCCCCCCCGGGGCCCTGGGCGCCTCGGACGGCGCGGCGTCAGTGCAGACCGAATCCCATGGAGCCGCCTCATCACGCAACGCTTCCACGATCGATGTTCGGCACGGCTCGTGCGTTGAGTCATGTTCCGCAGCGACGGGTCGTTTGCCATTCTGTCAAGTCGTTTCCAAGGAGCTTCCGAAAGGATGCAAACTCGCTAATCACACTTCTGGCGCCAGCGCCAGCGCGTGGCCGTCGACGCACTCGGCACGAAGCCGCGCGTGGCGACCTGCTCTCACACTGGTTAGTTTACTCTGAATGTTCGTCGGAAGAACAGGGAACCCTTACATCAAAGCCCTCCCCGTGGTCGGGTGTTGGCTTTTTTTCCACAGACCTTCCCATATGCCGTGTTGCTGAGGCACAGGAGGATGATAAGGCAGAGGAGGAGGAGGAGAAGGAGGAGGAAGAGGAAGAGGGGGAACAGGAGGAAGAGAAGGAAGAGGAGCGGGAGGAGGAGGAGGAGGAGGAGGAGGAGGAAGGGCAGGAGGAAAAGGAGGAGGAAGAGGAGGAGTGGAGAGGGGAAGTGGAGAGGAGGAAGAGGATGAAGTTTCTGCTGCTCCTCCTTCTCCTCCACCTGCTTCATCCCACTTGCCTCCCCTCACCCCCGCCCGCCCCCATCCCTCTCCACCCGCCCCCCGCGGGGGGGAGGGCACCCATGGGGGGGGGGGCCTTGCCTCCCACCCACCCACCCCCGCTGGTGTTGCTATAAGAGTCCCTGGCCCATGATGCCCCTAGGATTCCCCAGGGGTCAAAACGGCCCCTGGAGCACCCTTCACGAGACCCATGGGGCCCCAGGGACCTCCACTTGGACGCGAACAGCTGGGGACACGTCGTGGTATGGCAACCGGGTAGGGTAAGCAGGTGTGGGCGTGGGCCCCCCTCCCCGGTTTTCGTCCTGCTTCCGGTGGTGTTGCCCGTCTCCCACCCCCTCCCCCATCCTCGTCTCTGTTCTGCTTCTCCCCTTCCCCCTCCGCCATCCACCTTCTGCCTTCTCTCCGTTGTCCTCTCTGCTCTTCTTCTCTTCCTCCTCGAGTCCAAGCTCGTCTCGTGGTTTTGTTCATGCAAGAGTCGCGCCGTGTTGTGAAGCAGTTGGCGGACACAATCGTCGAACATCAATATGATCTCATGACGGTTTGGGCATTCACACCTGCAAAGAAGCCCTAATTGCCAGTCAACTAACAATACAACATAAGAATGCGCGGTTAAACATATGCCGGAGGCGTGACAGGCGCCCCTGGGAGGAATAGGAGGAGCAGCAGGAGGAGAACAGCCAGAGCGGCGCGCGAGAAATCCACGATTGGTCAACTCGCATCGGCACGATGCGATGGCACGAAGTCCAGCACGTCTTCAACAGGTGTTGCAGGAAAGGGCGCGGCAAGGTCCGTCGCAGGGACTAGTCTGCATGGACTTCCAGCTTCATTCCTGCCTGTCGAGATAAGCACGTTTGACAGCAGGATCTGCGTGCCTGTCCGCAGCCATTCTGGCAAAAGAATTTCTCATGGTAGCGTGAGCGTTTCCCGCCGCGGCCAGCGGCGGTTGCATGCCGGAACAGCAACAGGGCACGGACAGCGGTTTCGACCTCATCGAGGACGGACCCAAGAAGAGCAACTCCGAGGAGCTGGTGGACAGCTGGCGCAGGTTTCTCGTCAAGCACGCTCGGCTGACGTTCAAGAGACGGTGTTTTGGACACCTAGGCCAGTGGCTGAAGATCATCAAGTCAGGCCAGCGCAAGGAGATCAATGACAGAGCAGCGGGTCGCCGCGCTTGAGCGCCAGATCGTCGAGCTGAGAGATGCCAACCTGATGCTCAGGGGATCCCTGGAAGAGCAGCGGGAGGCCGCCTTGGCTGCAGCGGCCAGGGCGGCAGCGGCACCACACCAGCATCAGGTCGTGGACACTCGGCTCATGGGGAAGCCGAAGAATTTCAGTGGCAAGGAGAACGACTGGCACCAGTGGGCCCTCACGATGCGAGCGTACGCAGGGGCCATCAGTGAGCGCCTCCTCTTCCTGATGGACGAGGCCGAGGCGGCGGAGAAAGCGGCGAATGCGGCTCTAGAGTCGGACCGCGACAAGGATCTCAGCACCCAGCTCTACTACATCCTCACGATGCTGCTGGAGGGCAAGGCATCGGACAAGGTCGCGCTCGTCGGGCGAGGCCAAGGGCTCCTCCTCTGGCGGTCGCTCACGGATGAGCATGAGGGCAAGGCCGTGACGAGGACCACGGGGCTCTTCCAGCAGGTGCTGGGTTTCGGTTTCGAGTCAGATGATGTCCTGCACGAGCTCGGCCGTTTCGAGAAGGTAGTCCAGCAGTACGAGAACGCAACGGGCAAGACCGTGGACGACGACCTCCGCACGGGGATCGTGATCAAGAGCATACGCCAGGACGACCTGGCGAGGCATGTGGTGATGAACTCGGACCGGCTCGACACGTACGACAAGATCAAGGACGAGATCATCGGTATCTACAGGACGAAGAAGTACCTTGTCACCGGTCCGTCGTCCATGGACGTCAGCGCGGTCGACGCTCGAGTGCGCTGCGACGTCTGCGGCAGGACAGGCCACACCCGTCGGGACTGCTGGTGCCAGGGCAACCCCGGCGGCAAGGGCCGCGGCAAGGGCAAGGACGGCGGCAACAAAGGCAAGGGTAAAGGCAAGGACGGAGGCAAGAACAGCAAGGGCGGCAAGTCCGGAGGAGGGCGTGGTCACGCCGGCGGCGGCAAAGGCGGAGCTGGTGCTGGCAAGGGAGACCCCCACTTCAGCGGCGAGGGTGGCTACTGCGGGATCTGGGGCCACAAGCGGTCGCAGCGCCGCAAGCTGCAGGCGGCTCCCGGCCAGGAGGGCCAGCGCCGGCAGATCGGCCAGCTGAGCGACCAGCAGCAGCAGCAGCAGCAGCATCAGTACCAGCAGCAACAGCTCCCGTACGCAGTGCAGCAGTATCAGAAGCAGTGGCCTCCACCTCCTCAGCAACGCTCTCAAGGACGACAGGGTTCGGTCACCACGTCTCTTGCGTCCACTCAGCAGCTCGGCTCGCTGGTGCTCTGCTCGGTTGAGCGCGGCGAGATCGGGGGCTTTGGCGAAAGGCTCGCGAGGATCGGCGTGGACTCGGGAGCTGGTGTGACGGTCTGGCCCAAGGACCTATGCAGCGACTACCCGACCAAGTCCACGCCGGAGTCGAGGTCGGGCCTCGAGTACGTACCAGCAGGCAAGAGCAGCAGGGGCATCGCGGACCTCGGCGAGAGGACGTACGACATGGTCAGCAGCGACGGCCAGAATCTGAGCATGAAGGTGCACGTCTGTGACGTCCGCAAGCCGTTGCTGAGCGTTGCGGAGATGAACGACATGGGCTTGGACGTGCGCTTCTACGCGAACGGCGAGAAGGGCGCCTACGCGATCCACCCGCAGACCGGCAGGAGGGCGGGCATCGAGCGCGTCAACAACGTGTTCGAGATCGAGGCGTCCGCGTCCCCTTGGTCGGGGGGCAGCGGGCAGGCTTGACCGTAAGACCCGACGGGTGCAACATGCAGCTGCGGTGGGGGCCCGTGACCTTGGCTCCCCTGCAGGACCCACGAGATTCTCCGCCTGCTGAAGCAGCAGGCACGGCAGGAGGCGCGGCAGCATCTTCTTCGGCGGCACCGGCCCAGGCTGGACCCCCATTTCTGGCTGCGCCGGCGCCTGCACCTCCACGCAATTCGGGCGATGCTGATGCCCAGATGCATGGTGATGCGGACGTGGGACGGCCGAAGTTGCGAGTCCTGGCGAGTCCGATGCTTCCTACTCCAGACGAGGTGGCCGAGCACAACACGTGCCACCTACCCCACCGAGCTTGGTGCAGACACTGTGTGGCTGGGCGCGGCAAGGCCGATCAGCATCGAGCCTCCGAGGTCGCGGGCCAGATCCCCACGCTGCACGCCGACTACGGTTTCTTGGGCGAGAAGAGCGGGGTCGAGAGGATTGAGAGCTCGACCATCCCTTTCATCGTTGTCAAGGACGGCCCGCCTCCGACGGGCACGCGCTGGCTGGGCGCCCACGCGGTGCAGAGCAAGGGTGTCCAGCACGAGTACTCTACCAAGATCGTGGCCCAGGACATCGTCAACAATGGCCACGGCAGGTTCATCTTCAAGTCCGACGGCGAGCCGGCTCTGGTGGCGGTCAAGAAGAGCGCGGTCTCCGAGGTCCGCCGGACTGGTGTGGAGATCAACGTCACCCCAGAGGAGAGCCCTGTGGGGGACTCTCAGAAGAACGGCTACATCGAGCGCGCGATCTGGGAGGTGCAGAGCCTCACGCGCGTTCTCATTCACAAGGCTATGGGGCTTCATGGCACGAAGTTTCACGCGGCTCATCCTCTGGTAGTTTGGGCCATTCGTTACTCGTCGCAGCTGCTGAATCGGTTCCAGCGATCCGGTGACGACGGCAGGACTGCTTTCGAGAGGCGGAAGGGGCGACCCTACCGCAGGCGGCTTCCAGAGTTCGGGGAGCTGGTGATGTTCTTGACGGTCGCCGATGGCAAGCATCGGCGGAAGCTGGACGAACGAGCGTTTCCACACAGGCATGTACGTGGGTCTCGTCGACCGCGCGGACGAGGTGATCGTCCTCACGAAGGAAGGCTACTTCAAGGCGAACACTATCCGGAGGCTTCCGGAGGAGCAGCGGGGCGACAAGAGCTTCGCGGAGGCTTGCAGGGGGCTCTCTTGGCTGGGACCCCGGAAGGCAGGCGACGACGACGCAGAGGGCATCGAGCCCTTCAGGGCTGCCGCCCCGGTGGTTCCAGCAGAGGAACTACCGCCCCCGCTGGCTGGGAGATCGCTAGCAGGGCCGAGACGCGTCTACATCCGCCGGGAGGTCGAGCTCAGGCCGGTGGCGGAGGGCGGCTTCGGGTACACCGACAACTGCAGGGGCTGCAGGGCTGCCCGGGAGGGCAGGGCCGCGGTGGCTCACTCTGAGGCCTGCAGGGCCCGAGTGGAGCAGGCGATGGCTGATCGCCAAGGACCGCTTTCTGTGCGCTTGGAGACCGAAAAGAAGCGCAGGATCGGACCAGACGGTGAGGCAGCACCCCTCACGCCGGCGCCAGGAGCATCGCCGGGCACTCCGGCAGCTTCCCCTGGCGCGGCAGCATCATCTTCTTCTTCTTCGGCGGTGGCGCCGGCGGCCCCAGCACCCATGGTTGTGGAAGGGGCGGCTCCCTCAGTGCCGGAAGGCGCAGGCAGGGGCGACGATCTACAGATGGACGTGGTGGACGAGGACGCAGCCATGGTTGGCGACGACGGTGGCGGTGGCGCCATGGCGGGAGACGACCTCAGCTCCATCACGAAGTCCATCAACGCTGACCTGATCAAGCTCGGCGGCAACCCGATCGAGCTGAGCCAGGTCGAGTCCAACGATGCGACGGTCCCCGAGGTTTTCGGGCGCGGCAGGTTCTGCGAGCGTGCCCGCGAGTTCGGACTCACCCCAGGGTTTGCTCTCGACCTCGGCACTGGATGGGGCCGGAACATTCCCACGCACAAGGACGAGGCGGCACGACTCCAAGCCAGTGACCCGCCTCTGCTCCTTATCGGCTCTCCACGCTGCACGGCGTGGACCACGCTCTTGAATTTCGGACAGGTTAAGCAGGACACGCTCGACGGCCTCATGGCCGAGGCTATCGACCACATGGGCACCTGTGTGAAGATGTACTACGAGCAGCTGCACAACGGGCGCTACTTCCTGCGCGAGGCGCCGCACTCGGCGAGGTCCTGGCACGTGAAGGGCATTCAGGACCTCCTCCGCAAGGCCGGCGTCTTCCACATCGTCAACGACCAGTGCGAGGCAGGGCAGACCGTCCCTGTCAAGCAGGCCGACGGGACCATGAAGAACATGACAGTCCAGGGCCGCACGGGCTGGATCACCAACTCCCGGTGCATTGCGAAGGAGCTCTCCAAGTTCCAGTGCAGGAACCGACGCGGAGGGCGCCGCGATCACGTGCACTTGGTCGACGGCAGGGCCAAGCACAAGGCCAACTACCCTCCAGCTCTCGTGGCGGCCATCCTACGCGGATTCAAGGAGCAGGTGGGGCACGACACGATGCTGAGTGGCATGGGCGTCTCCGCGGGCAGCATGGACGTGGGCTACAACGTGGAAACCGAGACCCGCGAGATGCTGCACCTCCCGGAGTACGAGAACACCTTCGATGACATCACGGGCGCGCGGCTGCCTCCTGAGCAGGTGGGGCCAGCACGCAAGAAGGAGATAGAGTTCCTCCGCAGCTTCCCCGCCCACAAGCACGTGGAGGCCAGCGAGGCGGAGGGGCGCGATATCATAAACACCAGGTGGGTCGACGTGAACTAGGGCGACCTCGACAACATGAATGTTCGGTCGAGGCTCTGCGCGAAGGAGTTCAAGTGGAAGAATCCCTGGCTCGAGGACACGTTTGCTGGTACACCCCCGTGGGAAGGCGTCAAGATGGTGCTGAGCAAGGCTATGACCAAGGCTAGGAGGCCCACTAGCGGCTTCAAGGTCAAGAAGGTACTCATCCTGGACATCTCGAGGGCGCACTTCCACCCAGCGGCGAAGCGCAAGCTGTTCATCCGCATCCCTCCTGAGGATGGCGGAGGCATTGGGCTCTTGCTCCGCATGATGTACGGCATGAGAGACGCGGCGGCTGGCTGGGAAGAGTACCACCAAGACAAGTTGGGCTTGGCCGGCTACAAGGCAAGAGTCTCCTGCCCGCGCGCGTTCTCCAACTCAGACGGGTCGTCGTCAGGAGTTGTTCACGGCGACGACTTCATCTTCGAGGGCGAGGAGCACCAGCTCGACGCGATGGAGGCAGAGTTGCGGAAGCACATGCTGGTGCAGAGGAAGGCTCTTCTTGGGCCTGACCCCTCGGACGACAAGCACGCGACGATCCTCAATCGGCTCATCTCCTACGTCGGCGGTGGCACTGGAGTGAAGAGCCGCATCGCGATGAAGCCAGACCCTCGACATGCGGAGATCTTGGTTCACGAGCTCGGCTTGAGCGGACGGGGATCCAAGGCTGCGTCGACTCCTACGGAGAAAGGGGCTAGCTACTACGACGACACTCCTCTGCAGGGTGCGAATGAGGCCAAGGCGCACAGATCCCTCTGCATGCTGCTCGGGCTCCTGGCCCAAGATGCACCCCACTTGCAGTGCGTTGCCAACAAGTGCTGCAAACACATGGCGGTACCTACTGTTGGCTGGCTAGCTCGTCTGAAGAGAGTTGCGAGGTTCCTCAAGGGTGAGCCTCGGTGTGTCCAGAGCTTCGTCGAGCAGCATCACGAGGGCCAGCACATCGACGTCTACTGCGACTCCGACTGGGCCGGCGACGTGAATGACAGGAAGAGCGTCAGTTCCGTCTCCGTGTTCCATGGTGCGCACCTCCTCAAGAGCACGGTGAGCACACAGGGCACGACCGCGCTGTCTAGCGGCGAGGCGGAGTTCACGGCCGGAGTGAAGGGGACGTCAGTTGCCCTGGGCGTTCGCTCCCTTGGAGCTGGCCTAGGCATGGAGCTGTTCCCGGTCATGCACACGGACAGCAGCGCCGCGAAGGGCATCTTCGGCAGGCGCGGGATTGGAAGGATCAGGCATCTACACACTCCTCTCCTGTGGGTTCAGGAGAAGCGCGCGAGGAAGGAGATCAAGGTTTGCAAGACGCCGGGCGAGACCAACCCAGCGGACCTTGGCACCAAGGAGCTCTCCCGCGCGGACGTCCTCAAGCACCTGACGACCTGCGGGTTCTCTTTCGAGGCCGGGCGCCATCCTCTGGCGCTGGCTGCGCAGGTTTCGGTGCCTGGTGAGATCGGTGGCTTGAGCGGCTACGGCCGGGACCAGGCGCTGCGGGACGCGGAGGCGCTCGTCATCGAGCGCCCGAGGCAGGTGCTGAGCGGAGTCTGGGGCGGGCGCGCCGCCACGCCGGCGGGCCGTGGACCCCACGCTCCACTACCTTTTGGGTCGGGCCAGACGGGCCCGGCCGCGGCAGGCACAGATGCTCGAGCGCGCCTCGAGACAGGCGTGCTCGAGGAGGGCTGTCGAGATAAGCACGTTTGACAGCAGGATCTGCGTGCCTGTCCGCAGCCATTCTGGCAAAAGAATTTCTCACTGCCAGGACGAGATATGCCAAAGCAGCATAGACTTCGGAAGGACACATTTTGCGCAGCAGTGGTTCAGAAGGTAGCACAGAAGAGTTTGGCTCTTGAGTATTTGGCATCCAGGATATTCCGCCTCAATCGGACGCGTCAGCAGCAGCAGCAGCAGCAGCAGCAGCAGCAACAGCAGCAACATCAGCGGCAGCAGCATGATTATCACCATCACCATCATCCTGATCATCATCATCATCATCCTCATCATCAGCAGCAGCAGCAGCACCAGCAGCGGCAGCAGCAGCAACATCATCATCATCATCATCATCATCATCATCATCATCATCATCATCATCATCATCATCATCATCATCATCATCAAATGCTCCTGGCAGCCGTCGTTGTCCTCGTCGCCGCCGCCCCCGTCATCGTCGGCATCGTCACCACCGTCGTCGTCGGTATCGTCGTCGCCGCTGGCGGCGTCGCCGCCGCCGTCGCCGCTGTCGTTGCCGTCGTCGTCGGCGGCCTGCCGGCAGGCCCTTCGCGGCGCCCCCCGACGGCGACGGCATGGCGGCCACGGCAGCATTGGCGCGGCCCGCGGCAGTGTCGTCCGCCGCGGGGATCTTGAGCCTGCTCGAGGAGCAGGAGCGGCGGGGACGACGGCGACGAAGGCTGCGGCGGCTGCGGCACGGAAGAGGGACAAAAACGGAGAGGAAACAACGCCATAAACATATTTGTTTTGGCGCTCCGCGCGGATTTCTGGGATCCGCGCTGGGCCCCCCGGGCGGCGCCTCCGGCGCCGCCCCTGGCGCGATCCTCGCGCCAGGGAAGGGGGTCCAACGCAGATCCATTAAATCCGCGCGGAGCGCCAACAAGTTCATGTGTATGCCGTTCTCTTCAAAGGAGGGAGAACGGTACTGATACTGCTGCTCGTCCCAGAGAGCCGACGACTTGATTCTCCTCGAGGCCAAGGTTGGAAGGCACCCAGGGAGAGGTCCGTGGAGTAGCGGCGCTGGCATCTGTTCGTCTCCAGGCCTCCCAGATGGGGTCGGAGCAGATGGAATCGGAGGATCGCGTCGCATCTCCGATGCATTGGCGTTTCGGCTCGATGTGGAGCCCATTTTTCTCCACTTCGACGTCGGCGATGCATCGCCGACGTCGCCGGTGCATTGCCCATGCATAGCCGGTGCACCTGCGATGCATTGGCGATGCGGCGCGATCCTCCGACACCGTCTACTCGGACCCCATCTCGGAGGCCTCGACTGTCACCCCCCCCAGCAACAGTGACCGCTACGCCGGCACCAGCCGCGGCCACGGCCGGCACGATCGCAGCCGCAGCGGCGGCGGCGGCCCCTGGACGCCGACGTCGAGCTGGCGAGGGCGCCGAACACGAGCCGTCGGCGTCGGGGCGACAGCGGCCGTCGGCAGCGGCCGCCGCCGCCGAGGAGAATCAGCTGCGCGTGGCAGCCCTCGAGAGGCTCGACGAGGCGCGCCGAGCGGGGCGGGGCGGGCCGTCCCGAGGGTGGCCCGCCGCGGCCCCAGCGGCGGCGAGCTCGGACTCCTCAGAGCTCGCCTCCTCGATTCTCCGCGATGCTCCTCGATGCTCCTCGATGCGCCTTCGACTCCCCTATGCTCCTCGCTGCTCCTTCGACTCCCCGATGCTCCTCGAGCTCTGTCTCTTCGAGCGAGCAGCCTCCACGACGCCCCTCGGAGGCGCGACTCCTGGCTGCTGCTCTCTCTTAAGACCACTGGACGCCCGACAGCCTCGCGCCCCCTCTCAGTGTTAGGATGCATCTCCTGGGAGGTTCAATCTAGCATCAGCGCTGGTCTATGCGTGGCCGAAAATAACGGCCGAATCCGGCATCCTGTCATCCCGCTCAATCCCGTTCAATCCGGTTTAATCGGACCTGGTCTTGGGTTTAGTTTGGGTTAATCTTTCGGGTGGCAGTGTTTGCCGAGATTTCTTGGGCGTTTACTCAGCAGCCCTGCCCTCACACGCTTCGTGGCCCCACAGGAAGCTCTATTTACGGCCCAGGGCGACGTTCGCATGGCGGCCCCGCTCCAATTCGGCACACCACTCGCACGTTTCGTGGATTCAGAAGGGGGCTCTGCACCAGGTCCCGGTGGCAGCGCCCTCAGCGGCCCCGCCCCATGTCGGCGCACCCTTTCCAATGCTTCGTGGCCCCATAAGGAGATCCACCGAAGACGGTACCCACAACGGCTCTACTCGCAAATGCATATGATCGGGTCTTTCAGCATGATATGTTCGCGGCGGGACCAGCGCCGGGCAATTTGGACCGTCTTGGAACATCCAAGGTTACCTTGAGAATCAACGTTCGCGCAACCAGACCATGCTCGGGACACGGACGTCCGATCAATGGCAAGGCTTCGCTTGTCGGGGTGCTTGTTGAGAGGGTGATTCGTCTGCCCTCTAGGGCTAGGTCGGGCATGTCCCCCTACAGGGGCATCTTGCGCGAAAAATTCAAGATACCCCACCAATGCACCAAGGATGGTCGAAAATGGTCACATCATCGTCCCCAGACTATTTGTTGACTATCTTGGAATGTTCCTCCTGCAGAGGGACAGGCCCGACCCAACTTCGGGGAGGGGGGGGGCGCTCCCCCGACGCGCCCGTCGGCGCACCGAGGTCGGGGGCCCTCGGAGCTTCGAGGGTGCTGCCGCCCGTGGCCTCCACCCCCAGATCTCCGACGCCGTGGTTCTCGCGGCCCGCCTCCTCCTCCTCCTCCACCTCCTCCTCCTCCTCCTCCTCCTCCTCATCCCTCCTCCTCATCCCTCCTCCTCCTCCTCCTCCTCCTCCTGCTCCTCATCCTCCTTCTCCTCCTCCTCCGCCGGCCCCCAGAGAATGAGTGCGAAGGCCCCGGTTCAGGTGGCCCACTCCATTCCGCCGACCCCCCCCAGAGAGTGAGGGAGAAGGGTCGGAGGTTGATAGGCCTCCTACCCTGACACGTCGATTAGCGAATTGGCCGTGTTCGGTTCGCGAGAGGGCGTCGCGGTCGTCATTTTTGCGGGTCCAGGTCCGTCGGTTTCGGTCCGAGGCCGTTTTCACTAAAGGGTGGTTTACTAAAGGGAGGTCTGTCCACCGCCGCTAGGGGGAAGAGGACGAACTCGACGACGACGACGACGACGACGACGACGACGACGACGACGACCGTGGGCGTAAGGAGGAGGCCCACGAGGACTTGGATGACGTGAAGGCGTTTGCCGCTCTTGGGGCCATGCCGAGGTCCGTGGAACACCAGAAACCATCCGATTCAATTTCCGTACCATCCTGTTGTGTTGGGTCTTCGCTTTGGAGAGACAGTGCTTCGCGTCCTAACTCCTCACTCTTCACTACTTCTCCTTCCTCCTCCACCTCCTCCCTCCTCGCATCCCTGCCGCTGCCCTCCGCATGTCAACCAGTTCATCACAGCCGAATGCCCAAGAGGGATAGGGATCCACCGAATGCCATAGGGATCTCCACCGAATGTCCAAGAGGCGACGCCCGCATGCGCCCCCCCCCGATGGCCCCATAGGGAACTCCACCTAAGGACTTTAAACGGAGAAGGTTAAAGGCGAGGTATAAATCGAGCATGTACCGCTGCCGTGCCTGGCTCAAGCCGGGCCCGGCCAAATATATGACTGTGCCTCACTGAGGCGCACGACTTGCATCAGAGATGGGAAAATACCTTTTCCATTGACGATGCCCATCCTATCCTTTACTCCAGATCCCATGCTTCGTCTTGCACTCTTGCTCATGCGATATGAGCCAAAGCCTGGGATATGGCAACGCTTAAAGCGTAACACATACCTAAGCTTACCAGCTTGTTTTCGACTTGGTAGCGGAGCTGGCTACACTCTCGTGTGGCTGGCTCTCGCTCTGATTCCTGTAATCCACGGCACAACTTGGTGGACTACTACTACGGTGGAATACCATGTTGCGCCGGCTCTGCGAGGAGCGGAGCCAGTCCGCGATCGAGCTAGCGGGGCAACCCGCGAACTCGAGACGCTCTCTCCTACTTCACTGCGCTACTTCACTCCCGACTTCCACCAGATGCCAATCGGCAACTCGATCGAGAACGTGGTCACCCTGCGGGGCTACCCGCAGCGGGGCCACCTGCATCCCGTGCCAGTCAGGCGCCTCACGGCTACTACGCCAGAGCCTGACAAACCACAGCCTAAACCAATCACCGAAGCCGAAATGCACATGCATTGGATCAAGATAACTATATTCGGCATTCTGTGGGTAATAATGGGATGTGCTGTGGGATACATGCGGCAGGGGATGGACGACACGCGTACTACTGGCCCTTCATGGGACCCTGCCGGTACTACGCCTTTTCGCGAATACGTTCGCGAAGTACATGCATGGTTAAACGTAACGAGTGGCAATATGACACCACCACAACAAGCTGCAGCACTACAACGAGGCCTTCAAGGTCTGGCTCGTCGTATCGCCATGCAGGTCCCCTCCCAGATCATCAATTATGGTGTAACTGTCAATGGACAGCCAACGGATGCAGTAACATATATACTGTACTTACTGAGCACCAAATTTGAAAATCTGGAAGATGAGCGCCAGCTCAACTCTGGCACTGCCCTTATCGACTTCCGCGTCGAAAGGGGCGAGCGAATCGACTCAGTATTAGCTCGATTCGAGATGGCCCGTGACGAGGCTAACTCTGTTGGCTTTGTCATCCCCAACTTTCAGATCCTAACGCTGATTCTCTTCAGAGCGTTAGGCGTTGGCGCGTCACGAGCCCAACACCTGCTTGAGCCCTTCAATCATCAGATGCCCCGAACACAAGCAGACTATGACAGGCTGCTGACCAGGATGAGGAACTACGGACATGTTGCCGAGCGCTCTCCTGGCAACATAGCGGGTATCTTCACAGGGCACCACTCACATGCAGGTGTCTACGCCACGACTGCGGGGTCACCCGCTGGTCCTGGCGAGCCAAATCCCTGGGCTGACCCAGCCGATATGCCCAACGAGGCCACTGCCCTTTTAGGGCAGACTGGCCAGGCATCGGCAGAGGCAGCTGAGGCGAACGCCTGGTCGAACTACTCGCCAGGCGCCGCCTACACTGCAAGCCCGCCCTCGGGCACAACCCTCTGGGGCCAAGCGGAGTCATCCGCTCAAGGGTCTCAGCCACCCTCACCGTTTGAATCTGGCACTGACACGGATACCTCATCTGACGATGAGCACAATGGCATAGTCTCTGCTGGTAATGACTACCCAGCGGATGACACTCACCTCTCTGAACAACAAAGAGCGGAAGCCGCCTTTATGGCTTATCGCAAATCAAAACGCCGTTGGAGGCGCTTTATGAAGAAACCAGTCAGAAAGGTGAGACGTGCAGTACGCCGACATTTCAAACGATTTGGAAAGGGTCGTGGCAAAGGGGGTCGCAGACGCCGTATGCATGGTAGGGGTATTACTGCTTTCCTCACGTCCTTAACTGATATGGCTTTTGAAGAAGTTCTTATCGGAGGCAAAGGTCGGGGTCACAGGCGGACCTCCGGTAAGGGAAAAGGGCGGAGGGGCAACCCTAGGGACGCTTCTGGCAATACTATGAAGTGTCATACATGCGGTAGCACAGAGCATTTGCGCGATCAATGCCCGAAGGGGAAAGGAAAGGGATCCGTGCATTTGGCTCAAAATTCTTTTATGGATGACATAGATTACATTGACTACGAGTTTTACGTCAATCCAGAAGCGGCCCCCGCCGCGGGCTCCCCCACGTATTACGTGATGGCCCGCTACGCTGAAGCAGCTGTAGCCCTGGAAGACTACGCAGTGACCCTCTTCGACGAGTTCCACGGCTGGGACGAGGTCGACGAGGTCGCGTACAATGCTTGGTTCGGTCTTCCAGCGGGGCCACCCGCCGGCGACGAGGTCTCCGAAGCCGAGACCGTCCCGGCAACAGAGGAAGAACTCACCGCCGTGCTGGCCCCGCAAGTGATTGGCATGCCGTTGCTGCCAAATCCTTCGTGGGCTGGTTCGGAGGCGGGAGACGCCGATGACGAAATGCGGGGCCATCCCGCGTATTCCGACTCCGAAGAAGCCGAAGAAGATTATAAGGACATGCTCCAAGAGCAGGTCTCAGAAGCAATCCGACTCCTGAGTGCGCCAGCACATCAGCAGATAACCATGAACGAACTGCTGCCACACCCAGGAGCTGCACGTCTACGTCCATACTTGGATTCGGACATGTCAGCATCTCAGATGCTGACAGCACTCCAAGCTCTAGCGGGGTCACCCGCCGAAGAGACGCCAGACGCAACAGCGGGGCCACCCGCTTGGTCTATGGATGTATTCATGCAAGGTTGTGATCAAATGGACATTAACGACCTCACGATGGAGCAGTTAAACGACATCGGGTACTTCAGAAGCCCGTATCAAAACGTGTTCATGGTCCAGGACAGCTCAGAGGACTCGGAGGACATGCGCTACGCCAAGAGGGACAGACGACCGTCGCCTCCCCGA